TTTGACACTTTTCCCGAAAAGGTGAATTCAAACTCAAAATGAATGTGATAAATTAACTCGTATCCTGCCTGCCCTGTTTGCTTTTACATTGACTAGACCAAATAAAGGTTGAAGAAGTGAAGAAGAATTTGTTTGTTACTTTTTGACTCCCGTGTGCGAAGCACAAAAAGGAAGTTCTTGCAGTTAGTGTGTCTGTCTGTCTGTCTGTCTGTCTGTCTGTCTGTGTCTGTCTGTCTGTCTGTCTGTCTGTCTGTCTGTCTGTCTGTCTGTCTGTCTGTGTGTGTGTGTGTGTGTGTGTGTGTGTGTGTGTGTGTGTGTGTGTGTGTGTGGCTGTTCCACTGCTATCTCAAGAACCATACATTGGTTTTTGATGAAACTTGGTGCATAGATGCTCTGGGCCAATGCGCAGATTTGATTCGGTTTTGGTGAAAATCTGTGCAATATTAATTACCTAATTTGCATAATGATTAATCAATTTTTGGCTTTTCCACTGATATCTCAAGTAGTAATCATCACATTTCAATAAAACTTGGTACATAGTTATCATAGAACACTGCACAGACCTGATAGTTTTTAGTGTAATATCAGTACATATTAATTACCTAATTTGGATAATTAATTAATTTTCAGCTTTTGATATTTCAAGTAGTGATCATCACATTTCAATGAAACTTGGTGCATAGTTACTTAAGGACTATGCAGAGACCTGATTAGTTTGGTGGTAAATATTTGTGCATATTAATTACCTAATTTGCATAATTAGTTATTCTTGTCCATAATTGTTCCACTGATATATAAAGAACCACTGATTGGATTTTAATGAAACTTTTAAAGAGTATTCATCATCACATTTCAATGAACCTAGGACTAAACAGAGACCCAATTAGTTTTTGGTAAATATTTATGCTTATTAATCACCTAATTAAAATAATTAATTAACACTGATATCTCAATTACTGATCATCACATTTGAATAAAATTTGGTACATAAATGCTTTAGGACAATAGACAGGCCCGATTAATTTTGGGTTGAAATTTGTTCATATTAATTCTCTAATAATAATTCAAATTTTTTTGTTCTAATCACATTTCAATGAAACTTGGTACATAGATATTACATTACGCAGGCCTTATTAGTTTCACACTCAAATCTGTTCATATCAGTTACCTGATTTACATAATTAGTTTTCAGCTATTCCATCAATATCTCAAGTACAAGTAATTTTTAATTAATTTTTAATGTGTCTTCATTACTCTCAGCACACGGGACTCTGAGTTCTTTCTAAGCTTTCTTTTATATTTCTTTTTTTGTAATTTTGAAAAAGTATATAATTTTTCTCTGTATATGAAAAAACAAACTACTTGTTTACTGTAAGATGTAATTTTCACTTTTAGGATTTGTTGTAATTTGTTGGTTTAATAGTGTTCTATAGTGTATGTGATGCCATGCCTTTTGAACCCAACTCAGTTGGCTGACAGTCATTGTTAACGGTGTGTTCTGGCTTGCTTTGATAGTGAAGTGAATAGTGTGATAGTGAAGCATAACACCATAAGGTACAAGTAGGATTCTGTGAATGCTCCTGTGCTTTCGTTGTTGATTTCTTTGAATTCAGGGAGTTAGTAAAAGCCGTGGTGAAATTGAACATACCTTGACATCTTTATTAATTTTTTTTGTATCCTCATTGGTATTTGTTGTTATTTGTCCGACAGGTTGCAATCCAGCTGAATGATACTCATCCAGCTCTAGCCATACCTGAACTGATGAGGGTCTTCGTTGATGTGGAAGGGTTGTCATGGGAAAAGGTGAGTAATCACTGTATATTTCATTTTATCCCTGAAAAATTTGTGAGGTTGATAAACATTTATTGCACATTGTTGTATTGATTGGTATGTATTTTTAAAAACTATTTAAAACCCATACAGTGGGGGAAATAAATAATATTCATTCTAGAAATAAAAGTACGAAATAATATCTGAGTCAAATACATCCATGGTTAATTTCTTCAGTGTAGTGTTATAACGACTCATCTGATTCATCCTTGCGTGCAATTTTGAAATTGTGACATCACCATCTAGTCATTTAGCCCATTTAATGAGTAGGCTACTTATTTTTGTGGAAACTATTTGAAATTTGAATCAATAATTTAATAATAATCAATAAAATGCGTTTAAAGCCGTATTTGATGATTTTGCCGTTTCTAATTTTCCTAACCCTACAGTGGCGGTGCGCAGGATTCATGCTCTTCACTGAACCACAACTACTGCTTGCGATCATGAAAATATGTGACAGATATGTGTCTGTGACCAAAATAATGTAATGAGTCAGTGTACAATCAATGCACTTTTTGGTTTATGTGCACTTCTAATAGAGCATGTACGATGGCTGGAACCTCTGCTCAGTATTGGACGAAGTGGTAGAGGACTCAAGATTAATTTCTGTGTTTCATCAACAGTAATTAAAACAGCACATAACAGAAACACCTACATCTGTGTTCCACTGAAATCGCAGTGTATTAGGAATATCTCTTGTTGTACTTAGTATTAAAATATCTTGGGTTCTTTAATTATCAGGCATGGGAACTTACCCAGAATTCGTGTGCATACACCAACCATACTCTGCTTCCAGAGGCTTTGGAACGCTGGCCTGTATCCATGTTAGAATACTTGCTGCCAAGACATTTGCAGATAATCTATGACATCAACTCGAGATTCATGGATGTGAGTAATATTTTATTGTGTTGCACATTATTTTAATCACATTGTAAATTCTGTTAGGGCAAATGAGTATAAAACTACAACTTTCAGAACAAACTTTATTGTCATTTCTAAATGCTCACTGCAATTTGACATTGAAATTGTACTGTACAGGAAACAGAATTTGTTATGATAATGAGTGTATAACTCGTACCTTGCATTTGTTATCTGAATATAGGAT